TACAGAAAATTGAATGCAGACTTCCAAAGAATAGCAAGGAGAGACAAGAGGGCCTTCTTAAATGAACAATGTAAAGAAATAGAGGAAAATAATAAAAAAGGAAAAACCAGAGATCTCTTCAGGAAAATTGGAAATATTAGAGGAACATTTTGTGCATAGATGGACATGTTAGACAAAAATGGTAGGGTCCTTACAGAAGCAGAAGACATCAAGAAGAGGTGGCAAGAATACACAGAGGAATTATACCAGAAAGATCTGGATGTCCCGGACAAAGCAGATAGTGTGGTTGCTGACCTTGAGCCAGACATCCTGGAGAGTAAAGTCAAGGGTGCCTTAGAAAGCATGGCTAATAACATCCAGTGGAGGTGATGGCATTCCAGCTGAACTTTTTAAAATCTTAAAAGATGATGCTGTTAAGGTGCTACATTCAATATGCCAGCAAGTTTGGGAAACTCAACAGTGGCCAGAGGATTGGAAAAGATCAGTCTACATCCCAATCCCAAAGAAGGGCAGCACCAAAGAATGCTCCAACTACCGTACAATTGCACTCATCTCACATGATGGCAAGGTTATGCTCAAAATCCTCCAAGGTAGGCTTCAGCAATATGTGGACCAAGAGCTCCCAAAAGTAGAAGCTGGATTTTGAAGGGGCAGAGGAACTAGAGACCAAATTGCTAACCTGCGCTGGATTATGGAGAAAGCCAGAGAGTTCCAGAAAAACATCTACTTCTGCTTCATTGAAGCGAAAGCCTTTGACTGTGTGGGCCACACCAAACTATGGCAGTCCTTAAAGAAATGGGAGTGCCTGACCACCTTATCTATCTCCTGAAAAATCTATATGTGGGACTGCAAGCAACAGTTAGAACTGGATATGGAACAACTGTTTGGTTCAAAATAGGGAAAGGAGTACGACAAGACTGTATATTGTCCACCAGTTTATTTAACTTATATGCGGAATACATCATGTGAAAGGACGACAGAGGATGAGATGGTTGGACAGGGTCATCGAAGCGACCAAGATTAATTTGATCCAACTCCGGGAGGCAGTGGAAAACAGGAGGGCCTGGCGTGCTCTGGTCCATGGGGTCACGAAGAGTCGGACACGACTTAACGACTAAACAACAACAATTGCAGATTCAATATGTTCTTTTTCAAATATCTTCTCTGTCCACACTTCTAACCATAGAATTAAAAGTAAAAACTGGTCCTACTGCTGTAAGCAATTTCCAGGTGTCACCCTCAGCATGAGTGATGTGGAAAAAAAGGGAGGGGGGAATCTGCTTTTCCTTAGGGACGCCTGAGAGCTTTTCTGTATTTGGGTCTTGAATTCAGTGCCGCTTTGGGATTGAGTGCCTTTCAAAAGGCTTGTCTTAGATCCCTTTCAGTTCTGTCTTAGGCCTGAAATGGAAATGGCTTGGTATCTCTCCTTGATTTGCATTCATTTCCATGACTTTCAGGTGCTTGGTGGTGGTTTTTCTCTCTCTTTGATGTTCATGTTGGAATGGAAACTCTACTGCCATTATGGGTGAATATCACTTAAAAAAAAAAATACCAGCTCTCATATTATTGTAAAGGGATGTATAAAATAGCTGTTGGGGTAACACTGACTGCAAATCAGCTTGTGTCAAGGAAGCACACCTTTTTCAGTCTTTTCCGAGGACACAGCAAAACAAAACACACAAGCATAGTCCTGTATTTTCATCATGTCTAGTAAATAGTACCTCGAACATATTCTGGTATGGATTTTCCCACCTATAAGAGTCCCAGTAAAGTAGTGGGGAAAGGTAGATTGTAATTATCTCAGTATTTGTGCACCGTAGACAACAACATCAACAATGGTTTAAGTTCAGCTTGGAGCCTTGTGGTGCAGTGGTTAAACTGCAGTACTGCAGCTAAGACTCTGCTCATGATCTGAATTTGATCCCATCAGGCTCAGGTAGCCAGGTCAAGGTTGACTCAACCTTCCATACTTCCAAGGTGGGTAAACTGAGTACCCAGTTTGCTTGGGGGAAGGCGCAATATGTAGCCTGCTTCATTAAATTGTAAAATGTCCAGAGAGTGCTTTAAGCTCTGTAGGGCTGTATATAAGCAGCACACTTTGCTTTTGCTTTAGATATTCTAGTAATAAGGAGATGATGCCCTTAACTTGGGTTTGTTATTTCCAGGAGCAGCATTGTGTTTTTTATAATGTGTAGTTCTGCTTTGTCTCTCTGGTGCACTAGTTTTTCATTGCTCAAATTTGTGATGTGTGGTTCTTTTGAAGTCTTTTTACTCATCTTGGGAGCAGTAATGCATCCGTCTGATTTGTTGCTCAACATAATAGGGATAAGATTATTTTCCATTAAAAACCTAATTTTAATTCCCAATTCAGTGCCAGTTAACATTCTCCTTCTAGATGACTTGCTGGTTTGGAAATTAAGTGACGTTGTTGAATAATAGAGTTAACCTTTCTGAAGCTGGAAGCTGAACAACTCTTGATCCCTCTTTTAAAAGTGTTATATGGTTTGCAACACCCTTAATCTCTACTATCCCAACCCCATTTTATCTTTTACTTATAGCGTTTTCTTTTTCTTTAAAATTATTTTCATTCTTTTCCCATTTGCTTATGTCTACCAGCAACGTTTCCATTTTATTGCTTTTTGGGAAGATAAGAAACTGAGAAAAGTTTGCCTGTCTATCACAGAATCACCCATTCAGCGGTAATCCAAATAAATATCTGGTCCTTTTCATTGGAGATTGTGAAATTTGAACCCAAGACCTTCTAAATGTGAAGCATCTCCTCTTCTATTCAGCTGTCGTTTCTTTCCTATACTTTTTATCTATCTGTCTGTCTGTCTGTCTGTCTGTCTGTCTGTCTGTCTGTCTGTCTGTCTGTCTGTCTGTCTGTCTGTCTGTCTTTTTATTTTTTATTTTATTTTATTTTATTTATATCCCGCCCATTTAGACTGAAGTCTACTCTGGGCAGCTAAATTTTTTATTTTAAATGAATTGCATCAGACAAAAAAAGTATACCTCAATTCAGGCTTCATAGCTTTCCCTGTTCAAATCTAAATTTGATCTCAAGCAATGAGAGCAAAGTACATATAAATAACTAAAGTTTTCTACATCCCCTCCCCTTTCAAAATCAGTTGTGAAATGTTGATTGCAGTGTCGAAGCCCTTAAAAAGGGCTGAAATGACTTTCCTTAAGCATACTATATGTTTGTATTTTCAATATATACAAATAAGGTTCATAGGTACTTGACTGTTAGTCTGTCCTTTATACACATGGATGAACTTATGCTTAGGTAAAGGTTCCCCTTGACATTTAGTCCAGTCGTGTCCGACTCGAGGGGACGGTGCTCATCCCCGTTTCCAAGCTGTAGAGCCAGCGTTTGTCCGTAGACAGTTTCCGTGGTCACATGGCCAGCGCGACTAGACATGGAATGCCGTTATCTTCCCACCGAGGTGGTCCCTATTTATCTACTTGCATTTTTTCATGCTTTCGAACGGCTAGGTTAGCAGGAGCTGGGACGAACGACGGGATCTCCCTCCGTCGCGTGGATTCGATCTTACGACGGCTGACCTTCTGACCTTGCAGCACAGAGGCTTCTTGAGCTTGCTACCTGCTAAAAAGAAGGCTATGCATGTTCTTGCCCTTGAAATATCGACAGCAAAAGAAACCGTGGCTATGGAGCGTGCACTTAGCATGCAGACAGTTATGTTGGAAATTTGTGGAATTCTTTGCCTATCTTCTAAATCTTTCTGATATAAAATTCCTTTTCACTATGTTATGAACGTGATTTGAAGACATACCACCCGGCATTAATCCCTTTGGCTTTGCAGTTCCAGTGTTTTTACTCCATGCTTCTCAAAAGGCTTGTCATGGTTGGTGTTACTACGTACCCACTGCCTTATTTTTGTGAGCCATTATTTCTTTTAAAGCCAGCTAATAATCCATAAAAACATGACTAAGGGGTTAATGTTCCTTGGTGGCTGTCGTTGTATGCCATCAAGTCACCGTCCAAAAATTCCTATCTTTTGCAATGTTACGGCCATGGCTTCCTTCGTGAATAAATCCACCTCTTCTTTGGTCTTCCCGCTTTTCCTGCTGCCTTCTGCTTTCCTCAGCATAATCATCTTCTCCAGGAAATCTTGTCTTGTCATAGTGTGCATACAATAGCCTCAGTTTGGTTGTTTTTGTGTCTAGAGAAAATTCAGGCTTGACTTGATCTAGCTTCACTTATCTGTCTTTCCAGTTGTCCATGGTATCCATAAAGTTCTCCCCCAAGGCTACATTTCAAATGAATCGATCTTTTTCCAGTCAGCTTTCTTCACTGTCCAGCTTTCACGTACACACATAGTAATTAGGAATACCATCATCTCTCTGTTAGTCTGTATTTTAAAGGGCAGATCCTTTTTGAGCTCTTTCAAAACGAATGGGTATTGATCGAGAAAACCTCAGCTTTTAACCCTTCTCCTCTTCGTTTCAGGGCGGGGGTGGCGGGTTTGGCAGAAGAACTTCCCTCTCATTTTGCCCACATCCTACAGACCGTACCAGAAGTTCTTCCTTTTAAAGAACTCTTAATTCAGTGTAGGTGAGAATTAGCAACACATGCTGTAAGTGAAAAGGCAGACGTTCCTCTGTGGGTCCTGTAGGTTTTCAGTTACTCATGTGCTAACGGAAGCATGGTATATATTGAAAACAGCAGTTCCTGAAGTGGTTACGTGTGCTGCAAAAAAATAGCTTGGTCAGAGAACTGATTGAGAAAAAAACCGAAGTCCACAGTCTTCACCTGGTAGAACGCTGTGGATTCAGCATGGCTAACCCATTTCAGACAGATATCTGTTCCCACCCCCAGCTAAACTTGATTCAAGTTTTTGTGGTTTTATAATGAAACAAGACAGTTTTTCCCTGATTCAGGGGCCCAGTTTTGATGCATAAGCTTACTGGCGCTGCTCTTTTCTCATGTCCGTTTGGGTTTGGTCACACAAGGACTTTGCAGAAGGCAGTGGCACTTGAGTGTCCACACTCCAGGAATGGGCAGTCCATGGGTCACACGAAGCCTCCAGAGTGCCCAGCGTCCCTCCTTTACCCTTCACATCCACTCCAAACATATAGGGCAGTGATTTTCAACCTGTCGTGTATCCTGCATCTCAGCAAAACATCCGTCAAAGACCTGGGTCTCACCATAATAGAGGCAAAAAGCCCGCTTTTTAAAAGGACAGCTAGGCTTATATGCCCTGTCTTAATATATTTATCATTTATGTTCAGTTGCTGGGCAGGGGCAATGGGCGGTTAGAAGGAAAACTAAATGTCCAAAACTAAATGTCCAAAACTAAATGACAGAAGGTAAAAGATAGAATCCGTGGCCCGTATTGTTGGCAAAAGAGAACATGACGTCAAGAGAACTGATGTTTTTAGCAATTGTTATGAAACCTTGTTAAAATACATCTGTGTCCGAAATGACACCTTCTTTGTGGGCCTGATTTTGGCCTGTAGGTGGGTGTTTTTAAAAGCTGATCTCAGAGGGAATGTATGCTGCCGCCCGCCCGCCCTTGGGTCTAAAACAGGCCTGAGACACCAAAACCATAGCAAATTATCATCACAGCCCGCTTAAAGCGTATGAATCAAGTGCTTTGTGAAGAAGAGGTGTGTCTTTCGAAGGTTTAGGCATCTGACGATCAAGGGGCAGAGGCAGCCCCCACCCCAGAGCTTTTAACGCTGGAACTTGGGAAAGGCTAAAAGTCCCAGAATTTACCAGCCCACATGACCATCATCCATGCTGGCTAGAAGATCTGGGATGTTGTGGTGCAAAACAAGAATGATAATAATAATCATGTAAGTCCAGGTTTTTCCAGGTAGAGAATACAGTGGTGCCCCGCATAGAGACGTTAATCCATTCCGGATTAATCGTCGCTATCCGGAAACATCGCTAAACGGAACTAAAAACCCCATAGGAACGCATTAAACGAAAACTCACCGTTCAGCAAAGATCCTCCATAGCGCCGCCATTTTCGCCACCTCGGTAAGCGAGGAAACCACGCAAAAATGCTTGCGGCGGCCATTTTGGGCACCCGGCGGCCATTTTTGAACTGCCGTTCAGCTGTTCTAAAAACATCGCAATGTGAAGATCAGTAAGCGAAACGCTTACCGATCATCGCAATGCAATGTTTTCCCATTCAAAACATAGCAATGCGATTGCATTAGCGATCACAAAAAATAGATCGCTATGCGGATTCATCGTTAAACGGTGCACTCGTTATGTGAGGCACCACTGTACTCAGAAGTGGTTTCCCATTCCCTCCTTTGGGGGGGCAGCCTGGGATGGTAGAGCATGCCCAAGGCCACACAGACTGGCTGTACTTGCAGAAGACACCACGGGGCTTCATCGTTAAACGGTGCACTCGTTATGTGAGGCACCACTGTACTCAGAAGTGGTTTCCCATTCCCTCCTTTTGGGGGGCAGCCTGGGACGGTAGAGCATGCCCAAGGCCACACAGACCGGCTCTACTTGCAGAAGACACATGGGGCTTCAGACTCCCAACCTCTGACTCCACAGCCAGAAACCTAACTCACTGAGCTATCCAGGCAGCTACAGTCCATTTAATAATGGGAATCAACTGGAGATGGGCACAAACTGCCTAGCCAGCAGTCTGTGCCGATTCGTTTTTTCAGCCGAACAGGCATGTTCTGCTTCTCAGCCGTGCCTCCTCCAGCAGCCGCCCATGCCTATCTCTAGAATCAACAGTAATATTGCAGCAATCAGAGCAACGCAAGAAGTCAGTGTCTGCCATTGTAAGCTAATATAGTCTCTTCCAAATAGAAATGGCTCTCGGACACTTGAGACCAAGGATCTTTGCCCTGTGGAAATGAACAGCGGCAACAGGAAGAGTTCCTTAGTGGCTTGTGCCCTAAATTGTTGCTTCTGCTGTTTGCAGCAATGACCAGACCAGAGGCAGGAGCTGAAAAAGGTCCACCAGATGCCTTAAGCTTGCCTGCAGCTGAGCAATTGAATCTGCAGAGCAGGACTTCCTAAAAAAAAATGGGAGGAAGTGGCGGGCATGGGCGGAATGGGGCGGGGTGGGATGAAGGGGAAAGCACATGAAAGCATTTAGAAAAACAAAGAGAGCAGCCAAACTTTCTGAGCCTATCCCAGGACCCTTGCCACGGTGGCAGCCATCTGAAGCAATATGGCCAGCGAGGGCAAGATTAAAGTGGCCATTGTGCATGGCGTCTTCTGAAAGGCCTTGTTTCAACATGAAAAATGGCCCTGGGATTATGATGAATGGGGTGTCCCGGCAGAGTTGCTGTCCCTCCTATAATCTTGCATTAACGCTGAGGTAGCAGAGCGCTCTGCCTTCTGTGATGGAGACACCCCCCCATAACAGCTTACCTTCTCGTTCCCCTATTGGCCTTCAAGAGAGGATGATTAATTGCCTAGCCATAGCCCCTTGTCAGTTCAGCGGCAATCTTTGTTCTCTACGGTTGAACCATCTGCTGAGGATGTAAAGCTCTGTCACGCTTGCTCCTGGCTCTCCTCTCTCGGAGATCGCTGCTCCTTCTGAGCAAGACGAAGGCCAGGTCTACTAGGACTTGAGTTCTGAAATCCGCGTCTTCACTTTTAGCACTTTAATCACTACTGAGCTTTCCCCCTTTGGCTCTGATGGTCATACAACAGTATCCCAGGTGGTGCAACAGCCACTTGCCACAGGAAGAGTGCTTGAAAAGCCAGTTTATAACTTGGCAGAAAGAGCATAACATGCTGTAGATTGATGTGAATAACACCTCTTAAGGACATCGTCATTTCCTTATGATATTGGATAGGTGATCCATTTAATCCGGGGCTAGGGAAATGTGGTGGCATCTTCCACACATACCCTGGACTTACTGGGCTGCACTAGCACATGTGCGCACACACACCAGGTTTCTCAAAATGTGGGGATTAAAGATTCAAATTCCTCAGTCACCAGGGACCGATCAAAAGCATGACGATACACTTTGTTTTTAGATGACAATTTTACGGGCTAGAAGCATCAGGAGGCCTCATTCTAAGTTTACTCAAATATGTTTATGCGCTGTCAAGTATCTTCTCAGTTACAGGGACCCCAATAGGATTTTCAGGTTAGGTGAGTTCTGTCCTATTGCCAGCCCCAGTGTGTTTTTTTGGCCAAGTGGAGATTCAGGTCTTTCCACTGCTTTGCACCACAGTGCTCTTTGGGAGATCACAGAATCTTTGGCAGAAGCCTACAAAATGCCACAGACCTTATCTGTCTGTCTTCTGTCTCCCGATCGTGGTGTTTACGAGATACAAGTTTACGAGATACAAGAAGATCAGTCAATATCCTCAACGTTTTAACGTTGTTCTCGTGCACCTCGGAGGAGAGGATGGAAAGTTGTTGCTAGAATAAAATGGGAGGAGTGGCTTTTATTTCATCTGCAGTTCACAATGAGATTTCCTTGAAAACATTTTCATATACTTTTAATGTTCCGCATATGTACATATGAATAATCTGAGAAAAATGTACAGAAGAAAAGGCTCTGGTTATGATGGTGGAGATGATGATAAAAGACATTAATATGGATTTAATTCTGATTTTTGCATCTACCTTTTCCTCTCTTTTTTTCACCCCACAGTGGATTGCATGGACCCCACCTGCTCCGGGCACGGTGTGTGTGTGAGAGGAGAATGCCACTGCTCCGTTGGCTGGGGGGGAACGAACTGCGAGACCCCGAGAGCGACATGCCTGGACCAGTGCTCCGGACACGGCACTTTCCTGCCCGAAACTGGCCTATGTAGTTGCGACCCTAGTTGGACCGGACACGACTGCTCAATTGGTAATCATATCTGTTGTTGCCCCTTAAATTCACCCCTACCTTGAGAGATCTTTGAGCTCTTAAATGGAAATGTCTATTTGTGGTCCGACATGCCTCAATATTCCTTCAGTGCCCTTTTGTCTAGATTTAATGGGCGATGTCGGGTGTTATACTCTTACGTTTACCCTGAAGATGTTAAAGATGAAGATTCCACTGATGGGTATAGTCCTTCCACTGATGATCTTCCACCGATGACCATCCTTCTGGTGACTGAGCTTTTTCCAGCTACTTAGGCTGGTTGTTGGATGAAAGATACACAGATAACCTTGAGGGCCATAACTGAAAAGCCTAGCCAGCCTTATGTATTTTGCCAGAGCGTTCGCTCCGTTGGTGTCGCCTGTGAGAATCCAGAGTCATCTCCACACACTGTGGCGAGGTGGTGGAGCAGGACTTTGTGACGGAGCACTTGACCATTTAAGGAAAATTGCGTATAAAGTGTTCTTTGGTAGTCTCGTTTCACAGTAATTGGATTTGTATGCCTTATGTATTAGAGGCTATGTACACAGCATAAAGTTTACTTTGATCCTTTAAAAAGAAGATATACCGTATTTTTCCATTTATAAAACAAAATTAGAAGAAAAATTGAGGGTCGTCTTATACATGGAAGGAGGCAGAGGAGCTGCCGCACTCAGCCACCTCTTACGGCTGCCTATGGACTATTGCCACCGCCACCCAATCACCTCCTCCAGCACCACTGCTGGGGCTAATCTCCAGCTCACACCGCTGCCTTGTCCCCTGCCCGAAGGGAGCCCACAAGTGGTGTTGGAGGAGGTGATCGTGTGGCGGCAGCAGCAGTAAATGCGCAGCTGCAAGGGGCTACTCCTCCACCTCTGGCAAGGGTCAAAATTGGACCTCGTCTTATACATTGGGGGGGTCTTATACACGGAAAAATACGGTACTTCCTCACACTTTTAAAAATGCTCACCACCTACCACAATCTAGTATTCTTGTAATTTTCAGAAGGATAATTGTGCTAGTCTGTAGCAGACCTGGGCAAAGTGCGGGCCTCCAGATGTTGCTGAACTGCAAATCCCAACATTCCTCACTGTGTGGACTAGGCCCAACTCTCGTCACTACTGGCTGTGTGGGCTAGGAATTATGGGAGTTGCCGTTCAGCAACATCTGGAGGGCCACATTTTGCCCACCCCTGGTCTGGAGTCTATTACAGTAGAACCAGCAAAGAGTTTTGTGATGTGTGAAAAAACCAACAAGGGAGGTAGGGAGATAATGTTGCATTTATATCCTGCCTTTTTTTCCAGTGACCTGAAGGCAGCAGAGATAACCCTACCCTGCCTCTACTTTCACAGCAACCCAGTCAGATAGAGTAGGCTGAGAGCTTTGAAGCTAGGTCTTCTGCATCCTCATCCAGCATTCTGACCTACATCACACTCTCTTTCTTATTAGGCCTAATTATTATAAAGCACAGATCTTTATGGGTTGGAAAGTGGACCACAGCACACAAAAGCTTATGCCAAATAAAACCAAGACGCCCTGGAGAGGCCCACATCTGTTTGGTTTTTCTGCCACTACTGGGAGCCGGAGATAACCCTGAATGTTCTCCCGTTCCCTGTTATATGGGTTATATGGGTTCCTTATATTTCATGTTGCAGGTACTTCACAGATGCATAAGGGAGCACCTCCCATCAATATATCAGGTGGTGCATCCCCTTAATACATAAACTACCACGGGTTCATCTATTCTGTCAACTGCTTTTCCGGCGGCCATTTTGGAACCGCTGATCAGCTGTTCTCCCCGGCTTCGTTATGCGAAGATCGCTAAGCGAATCGCTTAGCGATCTTCGCAAAGCGAAAAAACCCCATAGGGGCCATCGCTGAGCGAATGCTCCAGCGATGGCCCAGAGTGCCTCGTTAAGCGATTTCATCGCTCAGCGAGGCACTCGTTAAGCGAGGCACCACTGTATTATAAAGCACAGCTCTTTATGGGTTGGAAAGTGGACCACAGCGCACAAAAGCTTATGCCAAATAAAACCAAGACGCCCTGGAGAGGCCCACATCTGTTTGGTTTTTCTGCCACTACTGGGAGCCAGAGATAACACTGAATGTTCTCCTGTTCCCTGTAACTCTTAGGTTATATGGATTCCTTATATTTCATGTTACAGGTCCTTCACAGATGCATAAGGGAGCACCTCCCATCAATATATCAGGTAGTGCATCCCCTTAATACATAAACTACCACTGGTTCATCTATTCTGTCAACTGCTGGATAGCTCAGTGGCTTAAGTCTCTGGCTACAGGAGCCAGAAGTTGGGAGGTCAATTCCCCACTGGTGTTGCCTTGATTGGAGCTGGGCTCGATGACCCCTAAGGGCCTTTCCAGCTCTGCAGTGCGAAGGCTATTCGGCAACTCCACCCACCTTTGCTTCTCTCCAAACTTTTCTTAACCATTCTTTAGGCAATTGCTGCGCAGCACTTCCAGAGTTGATCTGAGATTGGACCAGGGGACACCTTACTCCCCACCCCCAAATAAATACGTGTCCCTTCCCCTGCTCGAATCACGAGCTGGTGGGCACTTGTCAGCTCCCGTAGCTTTTGTTTTTAAAAGAAAAGGCTTTGCATCCTTAAGGTAAAGGTAAAGGTTCCCCTTGACAATTGATGTCCAGTCGTGTTCGACTCTAGGGGGCGGTGCTCATCCCCGTTTCCAAGCCATAGAGCCAGCGTTTGTCCGAAGACAATCTTCCGTGGTCACATGGCCAGTGCGACTTAGACACGGAGCGCTGTTACCTTCCCACCGAGGTGGTCCCTCTTTATCTACTCGCCTTTGCATGCTTTTGAACCGCTAGGTTGGCGGGAGCTGGGGCGAGCGACGGGCGTTCACTCCATCGCGAGGATTCGATCTTACGACTGCTGGTCTTCTGACCCTGCAGCACAGGCTTCTGCGGTTTAACCCACAGCGCCACCACATCCCTTATGGACGTCCTTATGCACGTCCTTTGCATCCTTACGGTCCTGCAGAAACACTGAAAATGCACGTGCACACCTGCCACTGTGTGCCAAAACGTCACATGGGCTGCCGTGTCTGTACAGATTGTACAAAGCCCATATAGCTCTCCCCAGTATGTTTCAGACTTGCAAAATCAGCCGCTGCGTGCGCCCGATCAGACTACAGAATGCGTGCGGAGAATAAATCCATCTTGTTGAGCTGAAACCGCATAGACTTGAGAGGTCTGAGTAACAAATGGGTGTTTACAAACTACCTTAGCAGAGATTTCTTGCCACGAGGCAGGAAGGAATAATAACTTTAACATCAAGAACAGCTCTGTGATGAATGAAAGCTCAGAGGGTGGGTTGCGTGTAATTTTGCACTCCCTCCGAAAGTGACTAGAGGTGAGTTTTAGAGACCCATAAAGGGAAAAGGTTATGTTTTGATAAGCAACCTCAGGTAGTAGTTGTTTTTGTGCGTGATTGAACGTGTAGTGGGGCCAGAGAAAGGAATGGGTTGTACTTCATAATAACAGTGGAGGAGAGGCAGCTGTGGAAAATCGGTCCTCGAACTGTAATATCCATCTTTTTCTTCAGAAATTATAGACATGGGCTAGAATCCTGGTTAAAAACCCACATACACCATGGTTATGGTCTGAACAGGAGTGTCCATCACATGACACATTTTCTCAGTCAATGGACAATCAGTCATGTGACAGACGCCCTCCTACTCCCAACATTTCACATGGCTTGGTTGATTTCCTGTTGGGTTTTGCCAAACTGGATTCTGACCATTGATTTTTCTCCTTTTTCCATCCTAATCTTAAGCCTTTTTAAATACTTATTAGAATGGATAAACATACCAGTTCATCCTCTCCAGATACAGTGGTGCCCCGCTTGACGACGTTAATCTGTTCCAGGAAAATTGCTGGTAAGCGAAATCGTCGTCAAGTGGGGGGAAAAAACCATTGGAATGCACCGAAAACCGGTAAGTGCATTCCAATGGGGAAATACCTCATCGTCCAGCGAAGATTGCCCATAGAGAACCGCTGATCAGCTGTTTTTAATTGCTGTCTTCCGAAGCAGGGGTCCGGAAGGCAGCCATTTTGTGAAGGGAGGGAAGCCATTTTACGAAGAGAAGCCATTTTGCAGAGCCGGAAAAATCATCGTTTTGCGAACGAACAGTTCGTGAAGCAGGCTCCTAATAGACGTCAAGCAAAAAAAACCCATTGGAACCATCATTTTGCGATCACAATAGCGATCGCAAAAAACTCATCGTAAAGCTATTTCGACGTCATGCGGGGTAAGCATCAAGCGGGGCACCACTGTACTGTAAAACAAGGAAGGACAGAGTTTTGGCTTCCGGCATCTATTTTGTTGCTGTCTGCTTTGCTTTTTCCTCCTCACTTTGCTTTTTCTAAACCCCCCCCCCAAAGCTCAGCAGCTGGTTCTGGGTGCAAAACAGAGGTGGAAGGGGAATGGCACATGTTTAAGATTAAGAATTAGGCACCTTTGAACATATTGCTAAGCACCATGTAAAGAGCAGAATTATGGGACTGGCAGGAATGAGCAAAAACAACACTAGAGAAAAAGACTGATTATGAGAAAGCCAGGTTCTGCAGGGAGAGGTAGCTGTGGCTCTGCAGATATTCTTGGCTTGCAATTCTTACCAGCCCTTGTGAAAACATTCAGCGTTGAGGGACTGAAGTTGTAGACCAGAAACATATGGAAGGCCGTAGTCAATGACCCTTTATCTATGGGGTAATACTTTAAGGACTGCTTTCTTGTCTGGCTCTAAAGATCCACAGGAGAATCTGTCTTATGGACAAGGTCGTTCAAAGAGACTTGCTTGCTGGGGAACTTTTGAGAGCATCAAAATATTCCTACAAATAGAAGAACAGCAGTCTGCAGAAGGGGGTGGGTTGAACTCTTTCCCTCTGGTATGTTAGTTTTCTAGTTACAGGGAGTTTTTAAATGGGGGAGGTACATTCAAAATCTGTCTACATATATGTAATCTATCTT